GTGATGTGGGCTGGACTGCAGGTTCCAGCTGTGGAAGGGGAGCTCAGAGTCCTGCGGGAGGCAATTTTCATATGTAATCAAAGACTTTTCGATTCCTGGCAATAGTAAGCAAATGCAAAACAGTCACTGATCTCGTAAGGGTGCTGAACTTTTTTCTGTAGTTTTCCTTCAGTCTTTTACCAACCAACTGCATGGAGACTTTGTTTCTCCTGTTCTGTTTTTTATTGCATTGTATGGTGGAGATTTTTAATTTTTGTCTAAATATTATCAACTTCTTAATGAAATAAAGGGATTATTTTACATGTGTCTGGCCCTACCCCTTAGAGTCACAAGGAAGAAATGGTGAATTTGCCTATGTGTTTCCCTTGTTAAGGGCCTGCATGGAGAAGGCTGACAGTCAGGTTATGATGGTATTTCATGGTTTTATCTTTCTTGTACTGACCCACAGAAGTTGATTTCTCATGAGTCAAACATTTGTATCTCGCTTAGGCGGTAATAAAGTATTGCTTTTTTTATTATTATTTTTTAATATACATTGCCAGTTTAAAGCCTTTATCTAGGATTTCACTCTTTCTGTTTGAAAAATCATTCTAGGTTTGATACACGTTTTGCTGGTAGCAGTGTAGGCTTAAAGAGCTTTTACTTATTTTGCTTACATTCTACTCTTTTGCTTGTGCTAATGCAGTTGTTTAATTGGGGGGGGAGCTACACAGTGAACTTGGCTGGGAAACTGATCCAGTTAAAAATAATCCTTTTTTATCTGGATATTAATAACTCAGATCAGTTCTGGCATCCAGTTGGCTCTAGTACTCTACAAATGGTGGTATCAGCAAAAATGAGAGGCAGTGTTAGACAGGGAAAGTTTCTAAATCAGTAATGCTATAATACTATGGCAAAAGCTGTTCCTTTTATTTTTTAAGTTGGAAGGTCCCAACTGGATGCTGCCCTGAAGCTACTTTGACTCTTAGGCATCTTTTCCTACTCTGACTTTCTAGAAGTACCTGCTAATAGACTTTTTTCACTTGCAAGCACAACTTCTTTATATACTCTTGTATTTATAAACCCCAAATTTGGAGTTGATAACAGGGCCTCAGCTGCTTGTGGCAGATTACGTTACTGGTGAAAAATATCTGGACCCAGATGTGGTACCTATACATGTCTAGAGTCAGTCTAAGATGGTAATTTGTAAGTCTGAATGTGAATATGGCTCGTTACACAGGGCGGGTGCATTTTTCTGATGCTGTATTTATAGGTGAAGTGTAACTGTGGTGGTCTAATCTGATGTCCTTCTGCTGGAAGGAAGCACTGGCTTGCATGCTTGAAGGTGGAGAAAAAGGGTTTGTTGTGAGCTTGGCCTGAAATAGCTTGAGAACAGAGCACATGAAATTTTGGGCATCTCTTTCCATCTGCTGCTTCAAAGACACTATAAAGCAGTTAATTCGGTTAATATAGAAGGTTTGTGAGATGGGGGTAGTTTTCCTCATTGGTTATTTATTTTTTTCTTCGTTGCTTAAGACAATCAAGACTGAAAAGTCTTCAACATGCTTATTCATCTCAGTTACGTAAAAAGGTACATACAGATATATTTTTGCCTTCTAAGTTAATTATCAATGTATACTGTGGCTTATACATTTTGTAAAATATAATTGAAATGTTGCACAGCATTTAATAATGCATGTAAGTAGCAGAATATACAATATAAACTTGACGATATTCTAACATTGCATAAGCACATAAAATGGAAAGAGGTATTTGAGCCATCTAGTGGCTGGTATGAAACATTTTAACGTTTTTGATACTACATAGAAAATGTAAATGACATCGACTTGAAAATAGCGTTTTTGATTTGTCTGTTTTTCAGTAACATGGTTGTGTAATGAAAATACCCCAGACATTAAACTTCAAATTTGAGGTACAGTCAGTTTCAGTTTGCAGGTTTTTTCAATTTACTATAGGTTTTAGTGAAGAGAGAAATCTGATAACATAAAAATTACATTAGAAGCTAGTAGCCAAAGAATGAATTTTGTTAGCATGAGATCTTCAGAAATTGTGAGGGTTGTTAAGAAGTTCAAGGAAAGGATTGCAATAAGATAATTTTATTTTCTACATCTTACTGAAAAATGTTTGGAGGGAAAAAAAGTGGGCTTGTATTCTACCTCACCAGGTATTTATAGCAGGATTTTGAATAGCAGAGATTAAATTTGAAAAGTAATCTTTGCTGGAAAACATGGAATGGATATTTTTGGTGATTAAACTTGTCCAAATAAAAATAACAGAGGCCACTGAAAACAGATTTCGTAAGATGCGGTGGGTTCCTGGTAAACAGAGTCACAGAATCTTATGATGTTAAGAAAAAGGTTGCTTTGTAGATGAAAATTTCGTGTAGTGATCCTGTTTGGTCCTGATAAGTTGTTGTAGCTTTTCATATTGGCTGTTGCCAGTAGGAACTTGGCTGCACCTTGAACTTGATGGCATTCTGCAATGCAGGCAGAAAAGTTATTTGCGAAAGTAATGAACTTTATGCACGTTTTGCCTTGAATTATTCGTGGGAAACTACTGCATATATTTAACCGCTGTAGTATCTTCCAGTCCTTGTCAAAGTACCATCAGGTTTAAATGCAGATTAAAAGATATTTTTGAATATTTATTAAGACAAATCTAATAAACAATCAACAAGCAGTACTAATGGTGTTACATATGGTTAGAGCAATAGTATTTCAGAACAGATAAATAGGACCCATACTGACCTATCAGCATTTGCACCTTTACATTTGAAGTAAAGTATTACAGAGTCTTAAATTGTGCTCTGTTATTTATTCAGAAGACAGTGGTAGATTAACAGATTTTTAAGGTCAATGAGAATAGGACAAAAAATGACAATACCTGTCCCAGGACAAAGGACAGAGCATTAATGGTTGATTTGTATTTTACGGGTGGGGACAACCTTAAAAGCTTCATGTGAATGATATGTTAATTACATTTGAACAAATCACCTGCATCTTGTCCTGTTGTGCCTTTAAAGTTGATTATTATTAACCTTAGGATCAAAATATCAGCTAGATTAATGTTCTGAAGCTGTAACTTGTTTGGACTATGAATTCTGTAGGTTTCAGAAGAAGAAATTAAATTCTTTGAAGATTGAAGAGATTTTGGCTGTCTGGCATATTTTTGTTTGAATTTTGCAGTGTGGTGATGAAGGATTTTTTGTTATTAATATTATTCTCCATCTTTACGATGATGTAGTATTGATTGCAGTTGGTGCATCTCTGAGGTAACACTAGCCAGTTTTGTTAAGCCTGACCCAAACAGGGCATTTTGCAGACTTCCATGTTGCAGATGTGAAAGTGTCTCTTCTTACCTTACTCCTTCATTTAAAAATACTTTTAAATCGAGGCATTACGTATGCTCAGGTTTTGAGCTTGCCTTCTTTCCTAGTCTGTTGTTGCCAGAGCGCACTTGGAAAGCGGGAAATACATGGGCTACAGAATTAGCGATCTTTTATCTTGATGATGTCCATGTTGTGTTTTTGTTCAATTAAACAGGAATGTGGTTTTATGGTAGCATTAAAGTGTCATCTTTTATTGTTTATATACTTCCCCCTCTACTCCCCCTGTTAACATCTTCCAGTGCTCTAATTGCCGTAGTATCTGGTCATACCACAGCATTTCCTTGGAAGCTGTCCACTGCTGAAGCTATGATCCAACTGTATTCATGAAAAGATCTTTGGCAATTCCCCTGGTTTTAATTTGCATTTAGAAGATGCAAATGAGGTATAATGAAATGGTAATATTGGGTCCTGTTTCAGATGAATGCTGCTCCTTGAATTGTGTTCTGGTTACAAGTTATTTTTGAGGAGAAATTTGGTTATACCTTTAATATTTGGGTTAGGTTTAAGGCATTGCTAGAATATCTTCTGTGGAATTCCGTAGAAATTTGACTTGTTGAAGAAATGCGTGCAAGTGGAAGAGGGATTATCTTGAACTACAGCCTTTGACAATAGAAATTCCATCTCTTGTCCATGTGTCAGAGCTTTGTTTTCTTTAGGATGTATTCTTGGTTTCTCAAAACCAGAATTACACATCCACATTTTGGGGAAAATGTGTCATAGGCAGCATGTACATGTTGTCTCCTGTAAATAATGGAATAGCTCTGCTAAATAGAAAACAGTTATGCTGTGGCAAAAAGAAAAGGCAATTTGTTTATCCGTAGTAATTTAGGAAATACGTGATAATTACTTGTAGAACTGGACAGTTGAACATTCATTAAACCTTCCCTGTAATGTCACTTTAGAAACAAATGATACTTTTCTGTGAAAAGAAAATGGGGGGAAATGGGTTTCCAGGAGGAGAATTATTCTTTTTTTTTTTTTTTCCTCCTTTTCCCCCCACCCCTTCTGCAAAGTAGGGAAATAGAAAATAGAAATTTAATTAATGATAAAGAAATATGATTGTCTTAGCTTTGAAGTTGATGGTCTGTATTTTTGGTATCCAGAAAAGTGAAATTTCCTTAAGCATATTTTCAGATTCATATAATTAATGTTCTGCTTTAGGCACTGAGATTAAGACTCTGTAGTTTTGTTTACTTTTATGTGACTGTAAATTATTGCGACTATGAAATGGTGTTCAGTTATAAAACATTTTTAATTACATTTAGTTGCCAAAGACCTCTACTCTGTCATTTCCTTCCTTGCTGTTGTACAAGTAGAACAAAGCACATCCATTTCTCTGGTGTAAAAGCACTTGAATATTTTTGTTGTTACTATTCCTCCAGAAATATTTTGTGGAGAATCACCTTTTTTTTTTTTTTTTTTTTTTTTAAATTTAATATTTACCTGTCTTTTCATTCCTTCTTTTTGGTTCTTCCTGTTTAAGGTGAAATATAAATATGCTTATCTTATAATGGAAATACAATGTCAAAAGATGAATAAAATACTGGAAATTCAGTCTTACAGCACATGGTTGTCTTATCTGGGTTTTAAACATTGTTTCTTTTCTTTACAGAATGCTGCCTTTTTATATGGCCTTGGTTTGGTCTACTTCCATTACAATGCCTTTCAATGGTAAGTTGGATTAAACTAACAGTGTCAGTATTGTGCAGTGTTTATTAATAGGTGACTATTTTAACTTCAATTCAGTGTGAGTGTACGATAGTTTAGATTTTTTTATTATAGATAAGGTGTTTGAAGAGATACTGTCCTGGTTTGCATATCTGACTTACTGTAACATACCTGTGGCAACCTCAGCAGTTGCTTGAAAAGGGAAGCACAGACAGGAGAAGAATTTTAGCTCCCTTATAATTTGATTCAGCAAGTGGGATGGAGCAATGTAACTCAACAGTTTTTTGTGAATTGTCGTTATCGATAGTCAGTAGCATGTGTTTTTTTGAAAGCCCGTTTACAAAAAACCCTCACTTTTCTCTTGTAAAAAAAGTGGCAAAGTGGGATTGTTTTCATTTAGCTTGGTATTCAGTAATTTTTACATAGCTGTAAAATGTGAAAGTTTTGGATGTGAGAAGCAGTACGCTCAGACTTGAATCAGAATGCTTAAAACTGATGTAAAACGCAGAGTTAGAGTTGTAAATTCAGGCAGGGCTTTGGGAACTGTTTTGGGCTGCTGTTGGATGGGGGTGGGGGGGAGGGTTGGTTTTCAGTTGGGGTTTTGATTTTGCTTTGTCGGCGATGGGAGAAAAATAATGAATGGAATGGACTCAGTCACTCGGGTTCTATTGAAAGGTCCTCAGACTTCTACTGGGGTTTATTCCTGCAGAGATACAGTTAGTGTCCTTGGAAAACAGTCAGAAAGGTGCAATGCTTAGATCAGTACTTTTTCACACTCGGCAGATCGTGCTGTTTAGCACCTTCCAGTGGGTGGAGCGCAAAGTCAGGTGATTGTGAGGCCTAAATATTATTAAATTAGAACTTTGAATTAATTTAGATTTTTCTTCTATGCTTTTAAGTAAGCTTGTTGAGAACATGAGAATAAATTGATGCTGAATTTATGATATCGTAACTGCATGTAGAGCTTTATGTTAAGGTTGTGTAGAATAACCGTATTTGCCATTTCATTCATACAACAAAGTTATGTATAGTGTGGAACTATGGAAGTTGTGTATCATTAGAGTATTGGGTAGAATTTTTAGAAGAAGAAAATTTAATGCAAATAAGATCTTACACCTTTGTGTGTGATTTTTTGTGTGTCTTTTTTTAATTCTTTTGCCTGCTTTCCCCCTACTTTACTAAGTTTTCTTGGGGGTGAGAGGAGTGGGATGTGTGGTTGTAGGTGTTCAGGTGTGACAAAATCATAATAAACTTGGAGGTAATAGCAAGTCATTTACAATAGATATGTTCTTTGTAGATCTTAGTTCTCCACAGGACTTTCTTGTGGATTGCAAGGAGCATCCTGCTTCTTTCAGAGTGAAATGCTAGTCAAATTGTCTTATTTCCTGGTGTAGCTATTCTGTCTATCATAGAGTACAAACATCTGTATATTTTGGGCAGGTAGAGACCTCTAGACCATTTGAGGTAGTTTAAGCTATTGTGCTTTGTCCTTGGAACTTTTTTTTTTTAATCCACACTGCTTCAGATATTCATAGATTTTAATGAGGGGCATGTACATAGCCCTCCTAAAAGGAGAGGGTAAGGAAGCACTTGTGGTTTTTTCATGTCTCATGTAAACAGGGATAATAAAAAAGCAAGTGGGAATAAGGTGAGTTTTAGAATACTTGTTCGTATTTTTTACATTGGTTTCTAAGGTTTCCAGCTTTCATAAAAAGAAGTGTTGCATTGGTTCCAAGGCACACATGCATTGTAATTCAATGTTGTACACATCTCTGTGTACTAAAGCAGCATTACAGCATTATCTTAAGTACAAATCTTAGCCGATAAATCATTTTATGTTGATGATTTTGTTTGACTATTTATCTAAGAACTGAAAGTTCTCAATATATGTACACATGTTTGCAATAGTATGATTGGACTAAACCTATTTATTGCAATTATTATAGTAACATATGACATAAGAGATTAGCTCCATAAATTGAGTCAAGTATAGTAAAATAGGTCTTGCAGATCTTAAGTTTTGATGCTCTCTTCTTTTATGCCATTTATCATCAAGCAGTAAATAAAGCGGTAGACTGATTTTTCCCTGTTATTTCCCTGTTTCTCGAGTAGGGTAGAACACCAGTATAGAGACAGCTGAGATATTCACATAACTTGAATAATCTCATAGCCTCCTTAGTTGTCTTTTAGATTGAACACTGAAAGAATTTCTGTAGTTTATCAAAGGCTACCCTTCATTTCTCTGCAATAGCTGCACCAAAGTGTAGTGTCTTGGATGCCAACTTTTTTACTTTAGTAAGGATTCTGACTAGTCTCTCATTTGCTGATTTACACTGAGTCTCTCCCAGATAAAAAGATGGAGTCCAAGCTCTGGAATTGTGTTCTGAAACTGGCTCTAACACCCTTCTTGGATCCCAGTGTACGAGCCATGGTGCTCCGACGCCAACCTGCAGTGTTTTCGGTGTCTGTTATCTTGCAAATTGCGGGACAATTTCCTCTTTCTGAGGAAAGACACCTTTCCCCAGAAACACCTTACTGGGGACTGAGATCAGTCACTCTTACTGCCCCATTGAGCATACTCTGAGGCTCCTCAGTCCAAGGATCCCTTATCAGCTGTAAAAGTTCAGTGTTACATAAAACTCAGTCCTTCAGCATTGACACTTTTGTGGGACACAGTCCTGAAGAAAGCAAAGACTAATGCAAAGATGATCCAGACCCTTTTCCTTACCTCCATCATGGCTAAAGATGCAGACTGCCTGAGGAAAATCTGTAATCTCTGACTAGAACTTTTTGGCCCTTCTACAGCCATGCTTACCAAAACAGAAGCAATGCCATCACCTATTTTGTCAGGTGATGTCTAGAACCACCGTCTCTGCATCCAACTCCTTTAAAGTAACATCACAGCCAGCCCAGTCTGTACTACTGTGTCCTGGCACTTCTGTAAGCTAGGGTGGTTCTGTATGCTGGAATTTCTCCTGTTAGCATAAGTGGGACTCCTTGGAACAGGAACTAAGGGAATTCAGCACAAAAAGCTTTTTTTCCCCACTTCAACTCTCGTTCAGAATTGGATCTTGACATCTCATTATTATCTGATTCAGATAAAGAAATTTAATGGGCAAGACAGAGCAAGCATATACTTCTATTTCCAACATACAAGCACTGAGCAGCCTCTCTACATCCCATGTCTCCTGCTGCTGAATTCCACAACCCTCCAAAGGCTGAGCAGACAGCAGAAGGCAGCCCTCAATTATCTGTGGTACTGCATCTGATGTCACCACGCAGGCCTCCAGACACCTGAGAATCACTCTTTTCCTAAGAAGTCCTTTGAAGGCTTCAGTGAGGCAGGAGCATTCTTTTCCATGTACTTACAGGAAAACACACAAAACTTACCTTCAACTGTGAGATGGCCTTAGCACAAATCACTTTGGACCATTTACTTCAGCTGAAGGAGTCTGGTCTCTCTCTTGCTCTCTCTAGCTGTCATTCTCTTTCATCTTTTTCCAGGAAATGAATTCTTGCCCTTCTCGCATTCATACTGAAATAGTAAAGCAGCTGTTTAAACTGCTTTTAAAGTACCCAGGTCTGCAGTGGAACACAAACTTTTTTTCAGTAGTCTCATGCACCAACCGTCAGTACTTCATGCCTTACTCATTTACCCAAGAAACTATTGTTTTATGGTGGTTGCTGTTTGCCTGTGGGAGAGTCCTGTGCTGCCAAGGTCTGTTCTTTGCCCTTCTTTGCTTCCTTTACCAATACTTTTTTTATTTTGCTTTGCTTTGGTTTAGATTGTTTTGTGGTTTTTTTTTCTTTTCCAGAGGCAAGCTGTTAGTAACGGAGTAGGATTTGTTCTTGAGGGAGTCATTTTTATTTCTTTTTCCTAGCAGGACCAGATCCTTCAGTTGGTTCTCAAGCTGTTTCTGTCAGTGGTTGGTAGATCCAAGGAACTGGGCTTTTTCACCCAAAGAGTAGCTGAGTGTGTAGTCGGGTGTGTAGGAGTGCAAACCACCTAGTAGGGACCTCCATCACTTGCGTGGGGAACACCCCATCCATCATGCAGACAGGTATTTAAGTAGTTTGTGCTGTTTTGGAGGGCATGCAGCAGTTGTTGAAATAGCCCAGTGGCTGCATTTTGCGTGAAAGGCTCTGAGATTCACCCAACTGACTGTGACGTTGCATTGATAATTAGCAGTCTGTGGAGTTCCTGCTTTGGAAACACCTGCAAAGGGAAGTCCAGGAGGGATATAATTTGAGACTAGGAAAACGGCTTGTTTATCAATAACTTGTGATCTTTAAGGTGTACATCTCTCTTGATGCTTCTTTCCCTGTTTTGTTAGAGTCTTTTCAGCTGGCCTGACATTTGTAGTTAGCTTCATAAGGAGGGCAGAATTTAAGCACACACCATGTAAATACTGCTTTGTCAGGTACTACTTGGTTTTAGATGGCTGAGTTTATATATGTGTTTTTCTGGTATATAAAATGGGAATGTACATGTAGACCACAGATACTAATTGTAATTAACTGTTAAAAAAGTGGTAATTAACTTTCTCTTTTGTTGTCTGATCTTTCTGTGTTTTTTTTGTATCAAACACTCTTCTTGGATTGATGAAAGCACGTAATACCTGCTAATGCTGGGAAAAAAAACAGTACTCTCAGTTGCTGTTCTGGAGAAATATTTAAAGACTTTGCTGCTCAAAATGTTTCACCATTCAACTGTTACAGTCCCGTGGACAGAGGAGTGGTATCTAAAGACTGTAAAAGTATTTCATAAAATTGCAGTGTCCTGACTACTGCTGTATACAGACATTTTGTTTACATTCAAACTATGATTATGAGTTTCAAATAGAAATCTGTCCTTTATAGCAATGTGTCATTTTCAGTAGTGAGACTATGAAATGACATGAGACTTAGAATAGGTGGTCAGAAAATTGAAAGAGGATAAAGAATAAGAAAAAGAATAATAAAAATAATAATACGAGTATTAATTTTTGAATAGTTAAATCAAT